GCTCGTATAATAGCCTCTAGTCATTCTCTTTTTTTAAAAAAAAAAAAAAGAGACATGCAAATCTTCCAAAAGCTACAGAGCATAGATCAAGAAACCTTGTCGAGTCACACATAACCCACAATATAAGAAGCAAATCCCCAAACTGTTTGTATTAAAGCAAGAATCTTGAATTCACCCATTGGATCATGCAAAAATATCACAGCCGCAACACTAGTAATTGGCACCCTCACCGCATTAAGAACTCCAGCAAGCAGTGTAGAAGCCAGAAATAGAACAGCAGTTCCCCCAAACACCCCAAGCTGAAATGTAATGGCAGACCAAACCAGCACCATATAGTATGATATCTCTCCTGTCTTAAACTTCTTCGCTTCAATCTTCATTTCATGGAAGTCTCCATTGGCAACCACACCGACCGTAGTGAACATGAACGCGCATAAAGAAACCATCACTTGTTGTTCCAGCACAACATGAAAGGATGTTCGTCCCAAAATTTTGACGAAAAGAAGCTCCGAAAATGCGAAAATCAAGCCATGGAGAGCAGAGCCCAGGATGTCGCAGATGAATCCAAGGGTGTATTGTGTGTTGCTGATGCCTGGGTACCTATCCGAATCGGAATCTAGAGCAATTATGACAACGCCAGCAGTGATGAGGACAATGGCGTTCAGAGAAGAGAGATTTATTTGGTTCTTAACGAAAAGGTAGCCGAAAAGAGCTGAAAATGCGAGCGAAGAGGCGGCGAGGAGAGCGGCGGTGGAGGCAGGGAGATATGCATAGGCCCAGGCATACAAGAGGTTGTCGGCGGCGCTGAGGAAACCCAGCAAGATATAAGAGAGGAAGAGCTTGAGGGTGAGAGGAGATGGTGATTTACTACCAAAAATGTAGATGGGGATAAGAAAGATGGCTGTTAATGGCCATCCAGCAACGGCCACCCAGGAAAGAATCCATTTACTATTGCCACCATTGTTGTAGTAAAGACGAGATAGAATACTCGAAGCTGGAAAAGCTGAGAGCATAAAGCTGCTACTTATAGTTAGCTGAATCCAGAAGAAGATTGGTCTCTTAGAATATGTTTTCCGAGCTGATGAAATAAGTTCTGATATTCTACTTCTCAATGAGAGAGGAGATTCTGAAGCTTGTGGAGCATTTCCTGATTTTTATCAAGTAGAAGATTCTCAACTCAAATCAGTGTAAGTTTTGCAACCAAAGAGTGCAGACAAGAAAGCAGGACAATTAACATACCTAGCACATAATTATTATGTATTTGCATATCTCACACATAAACTTTCATGTTTACACACATATTACTTTGGTGGCATGGAAAGATTTATTTCAGTTTTGAAAGGTCAAGTGCTATGTGCAAATATGAAAAAAATGCATAAATTTTGTCTGCTATGTATGCTTGAAGTGAATGAATTTAGTTATGTCATGGCAATATGGCATGAAAATATTTGCATTGCAGAAATTTGGGAGATTTGAGAAGGAAATTCAATGAAGTGTTTTTTTCTCTCATTCATATTTTCAGATAAATTCATCTGGAACAAAATAAATATGCATGCTAACAAAGAGTATTGTACAATTTATCAAGGGAACTTTGCATACATACCATATAATTCTTTTGTATTAATATTTCTAACAACCAAAGTTTAATATTTTCATTCATGACACCTTGGTGTTATAAATCTATGTATAAAAAGATGTGTTTTATTTTTAAAAAGATAGTGAGGGAGGTATTATTATGTGATATTAAAGAATTGAGTAGTATGAATTGGAATGATTTTGTAATTAAACTTACTCATTTCATTAACATTTTGGCTTATATAGAGTCATACAACATTTACAAATAAACCCCTAGACTTTTTCTTTTTATAAATAAAACCCTATATTAGATACAAATCTCAACACTCCCCTTTAAGGTGGGCGAAAGATATTCACTAAGCCCATCTTGTCACATAATCTATTTAACTCCACTGAACTAAGTCTATGAGCGAGGAAGTCAGCCACCTGCTCTCCAATAGCTACATGACTTAATTATAACAATTTGTTATTCAGCTTCTCCTTGATGAAGAATCTATCAATCTCCACATGTTTAGTTCTATCGTGTTACACCAGGTTGTTAGCAATGTTGATTGTCGGCTTGTTGTCACACCACAACTTCGTTTGAGTTCCCTGATCCACTTTGAGTTCAACTAACAAGGTTTTCAACCACAACATCTCAGTAACTCCTAATGTCATGGCCCTTTATTTTGCCTCTGCTGCTGATCTTGCTACAACTGACTGTTTTTTCCTCTTCCACGAGACCAAGTTGCCACCTACAAATATGCAGTGTCCTCATGTGGATCGTTTGTCATCAGCATAGCTTGTCCAGTCAAGATCACAAAAGCCCTCAATATCTACATGCCATTCTTTCCGAATATCAACCATTTTTTTGGTGCACTCTTCAAATATCTCAGTATCTGATACACTGCATTCATATGATCCTTCCTTGGAACATGCATGTAGCGACTCACTGCTCTTACTGCAAAACAAATATCGAGTCGAGTGTGGCATAAAGATAGATCAAGTGGCCCACCAACCTCTGACACCTCTCATGATCAACAGATTCACCTGCCTCCATACTGAGCTTAACCTTCTGATCAAATGAAGAGACTGTAGGCTTGCACCCCTCTATACCCGTCTTCGTGAGAAGATCCAGTACATACTTTCTCTATGATAAGATCATTCCCGCAAGTTTATGGGCCACTTCAATCCCAAGAAAGTATCTGGGTTGTCTCAGATCCCTTACCTCAAATTAATTTCATAATCTTCCCTTCAGTCGAGCAATATTGGTCTATCATCACCAGTGATAATTATGGCATTCACATACAAAACAAGCATGGTGGTGTGACCTTCTATTGTCGAAAGAACACACTGTGGTCGGAATTGATTTGTTGGTATCACATGCCAACCATAGCCATTATAAACTTGTCAAACATGCTCGAGAAGACAACTTCAAGTCATATAGTGAATTTCTGAGCCTACACACCTTATCCACTGTCTGGGATGTACTAAATCCTGGTGGTATCTCCATATATACCTCCTCCAGTTGCTCACATGAAGAAAAACATTTTTTACATCTAGTTGGTGGAGTCTTCATCCACCATTCACTGTCAGAGAAGTCAGTGTCCTCACTGTGCTCATCTTTGTTACTGGTGCAAGGGTTTCATCGTAGTCAATGTCATATGTTTGACTGTACACTTTCAACACTAGTTGTATTTTATACCTCTACACTTTCCCTTCTGGAGTTTGCTTTACAGTGAAAATCCACTTGCATCCAATTTCCTTCTTATCTGCTGGTAGTGGTACAATCTCCCATGATTGGCTTTTCTCAAGTGCTAAGAACTCTTCATGCATCGTCGCTTTCCACTTGGGATCCTCGTTAGCAATCTGCCAACACTTGGGTATGGAGACAGAGTTCAATGATGCACTGACTGCTTCAAGAAAATGTGAGATGTTGGGATAAGAAATAAATTTTGCAATGTCAAATTCCCACCCGAAGTGATCAGGAGGATGTCTCACATTGTTGCGGGAAATCCTCCTTAACATTTTGGGGGGGGGGCAGCAAAAGTAGGAGGAAAAATAATATCACTTAGGAGTTTTGAATCAAAGGCGAATGATGTAGGTGTCTCAAGAGTTAGGGAAGATTGGGACAAGGGACTTATTGGCACTGCAAGATTTATTCTCTCAGTTTGCTTCTTCCTCCGCATATACACCCTTAGTTCACCTTTAGTTTGAATCACACCACCACTAGGGTCAATCTCCTCGTTTCCGTCTCCTCATTTGATTCATCCCGCATCACAGGACATGATACCACAGCCTCCTCCTGAGCACCATCAATAGGTACCTCCTGAGCTGCAACTGAATCATGTACCTGAGCAATGGCAGCAGAACTCTGTGGAACAAATGGAGTTACATTAAACTCCAACTTCTACTGCATATTTGTGGTCACAATGGAACTTTCCACATGCTTCGAGTCACGAGGCTTCAACATGCTTGCCTCATCAAATATAACATCTCAGCTAATGAGAATTTTTTTCTCTGCCTGATCATAAAGTATGAAGCCCTTGAATCCACGCCTGAAGCCAATGAAGATCATTTCTTTATTTTTGGTTCCAGTTTATCATTCTTCATGAGGCAGTAAGTTGGACACCCACACCCACCCTCATGTGCTCAAGATCTCTGGCAAGATGTTCCGACCACATCTCCTTTGGGGTTTTCTTTCCAATAACTACAGAAGGCGGACAGTTTACCAAGTGACAAATATAATTTATGGTTTCAGCCTAATAAACTCTATCCAACACAAAGTTGAGCAATATACATCGAAGTATCTCCACCAAAGTATGGTTTATCCTCGATGTCACCTCTTCTGATGCAGTGTCCTCGAACAAAGAAGTGGTGCTCTAACTCAGCTTTTTGGCACCTTTGCAAGATGTGTATCACTCTCATTTTCTGATCCGATATACAAAATCTTTTAATTAGTATGAGTTTCAATTCACTTCTTTTAAGTATGAAAATCTTCAACACCTCGCTCTTACACTCCATGGTGTATAGCCAAACATATATGGAGTAATCATTCATAAGAGACAAGTATCTTCGCATGTTGAATGATGTTGTTGTGGGCTTAAAAAAATTGAAATACCGAACTCTTGTCGAGATGAGAAAATTGATAATACACTACCTAAAGATTTTGCCTTCATTTTATGAGAATTTTAAGATCTAGGGTTCGAGGTTTCTCATAGGCACAAACCCATGTCGTTAATCATCCCTCCCAATAGTGGAAGAGCACTTTTGATTAAGGCTAATCATTAAGCGATAAGTATTCAAACTTAACATATAGTAGCGGCAAATTTAAATTTAAAAATTACAAAAATTATCATAGTGAGCTTAAAGAGAATGGTTAGGGAAACAATGACGAGCCCGAACAAGATGTCATAGTTTGTCATCCCGGATTATCATGATCCCGGTCTACTTAGCCAGTGGAACTTTGTGTCTAAGGTAATTTATCTAAGTTAACCATAACCAACAAAGAGCTTTGTGTCCTATCAAATATATTATATGATTCATAACTTAAAAGGGCAAATTACCATTGGAGAACATGCTGGCTATAACCATTACTATAATATAATAGTGTTTTTTAGAGCCAAACAATCAAGTCAGAAAGCTCTAGTCATAACCCCTTATTGTAGTCTCATTTGGCGACAAAATCACGCTGACAGAAGACTTGGGTCATGTCTTTACTGGCATGAGATTATTTTGATCAGTAATTTAATTATATAATTGATAACATTAACTCTCTGTGAGTTTGGTCAATACTAAATTTGTCCAACCTGACAAACAGTCGCAGAGGGCGGATGGATTTTTTCGCTAAGCATTGGTTTATTTTATTTAAATATATTTTTTTTAATTTTATAATTTAAAATTCTTTTAATTTTCAAGTGAACCCCTTTAGTTGATTAGACGTGCATTGGTGGTTTTTGCGATCGTAAACCTTGGATCTCATCCATTTAAAAGATGTGCATGGGTGTTCATATAGCAATAGCAAGTTTCCTCATTCCATCATAGCAACGGAAATAGATACTTATATGCACCTATGTATACCTTGTGTGTGGGGCAAGCTATCGAGAGGAGGCAACAAACAGTTAATTCCAAAGGTTCTAAGTCGCAATTCTGCACAATTTACTGATTGTGGCTATAGTTGGAGTTGGTGATAATTGTCGTTGAGATAGTAGAGGCCGACGAGGAGGCTTAGATCCAGAAAAAAGGTATCATTTAGTAGCTGTCTTGAATAGGATTTCAACAAATTAGCACGAATGACAGCAATATATCCAATAAGGATTTGAGTTAAGTTGCCTTTTCAAACAAATAGCTAGCATGACAACTTGAAATCCTGTAAATCTTAAAATCTCATTCCTCCACCTTCTTCAACTTAGCCCTTTAAATCTTGCATCTTCCCTGTTCTACCTTAAATCCATGTTCATTAAATCTAAATATTGGATGGCTGGGAGGAGCTACACTGAGAAGGAGAAGCAGAGCTGTTAACCAGTGCGAAGGAAATGGGGACTGGGAGGGGGAGACGTAGCTGTCTGACATGCGGCAGAGAGGAGAATTGTGGTCTTGGTTGCCGGTGCTGGGTGGTTCGCATGAGACAGGAAGCAGGAGAGGGAGCAGCCCGCAAATGTGAAGGGAGAAGAGGAAGAAAGCTGCGCTATCTACTGCATGAAGAGCAGGCAAATGGAGAGGAAGAGCCGTAACTGCAGGAGGTGGGTTTGCTGGGTGACGGGAAGCAGCCTCTGCAAGGAGAATGGAGGGGCATGCGAGTGGGGTATGAGAGAAGAAGTAGAGAGGAAGTGGTTGGAGATTCAAATGGGAGATAGGGGAGATCGGGCTGCTTCGCGCGAAAACGTGAGGAAGAGTGCACTTTCTTGGTGAGGAAAGGCGTGAGGGTGCTATCGTGTATGTTGCACCGGCTACAGAGGAGAGTAGATTGGATATCATTATTAAAATCTCTCTTCTTATTGGACGAGATCTGCAGTGGTAGCAAGCCGCAAGTATAAGCAATGGCTAATGTACATTTGACTTGAATGTTTTTATTAAATTATGTGTTATCTAGAAACCGTGCAATTAATTTATGTGCTAAATCATTTCAAGAAAAATCTAAATCTAATTTTCCGGACAATAGACATAGTTTGTTTCACGAATAGAACTCATTTGAGCAAATTTATCGTCAGTGTAGATACATTTGAATTTGATTCATGCGAATTCGCTTCCTATCTGGTCTGTTGCATCATGCTAACTCCTCTCAATAATTGGTTGAACATAAGAACAGTTTGTTTTGGAAACATGAATAATTTTATGTGAATTCGGGTGTTTTAGATCTTGATCGAAACATTTCATATTGGATCGTGCATTGTCACATTCTTCATTTGATGCAGTAGTCACCTTATCATAATTTAAGACATCTTTCCCATAAATGAGTGTCATAGTGAAGGCTTTTTATTATTCTGAGAGCAAATTCAATAAAAAGTGTTTTGTTTTATCTCCAACCTCATCATCCATATTTAATAGATAGGCCCAAAACTTTGTAAAATCATTCAAGTGCTCATCAATAGTAACCATCGTCTCCTCTGAAACCTATAGAATCAACGTTTCATATCAAAACAATTCTCTATGTTATTCATGAGATATTTGTCCTCCATCTTTTTCCACAACTTTTCCTCAAAAGTTTTCATAATCATTCATATTTGATCTCCAAATATAAGTAAATTTGGATCAAGTCACAAGCACCCCGACTCATTTTCAGCCGATCTCTTTTTGAAATCTCTTAGGACATTTATCACCATCAAGAATTTCATCCAAATTTAAAGAGCGCAACGAATTCATCACTTCAAATCATCACATGCCAATTTTCTTTGAGGTTAAATCTCATCACATCGTTTTTGACAGGATGCATAACCACTTGATGAATCGACACATTTTTCACAGTCATGGTTAATGTTGAAATACCTGAAAACATGTTATTATTCATGATTCCATCAAATCTCGTAATCTAACTTCCTCTGATTTTGTTTGCCTTATGTCTGCAACGACACCAGAATTGCACCCACTTATTGCCGGAATCACACCAGTCCGACTCTAATACCAAATTGTTGTGCAAAATAATGTTTAAAATAAAACCACAATACAAGCAAACAATCAAACAATGTGATTTATGTGGTTCGGAGCAAATCTACCACATCCATTTCATTATCAACAGGTTGGGAGAGGAAAAAATGGCCAAAATAGGGTTACAATTACATACATAAAAATAAGTTATAATCACTTCTATAAATAAGAGGGGATTATGATATATAAATTAGAAATATATAAAAGAACTTATAAATCGATTTTCACTTCGGTTGCTTAATATCAAGCTCTCTAGTATAGAAAAGATCATGTAATTAAATCTCATCTAATTAGGTTACCTAATATCAATCTTCTTAATATACAACCATTAGATTTAATCCTTTTCATAACAGCGAAAACATTATATGGCTCCATGAAACCTTTTTGTAGTAGTTTAGCCATCTGTTCTAAGGGTTTTATCAATAGCCACAAACTACTTCAGACAACTAGAGCTTGAACACAATCCAAAGGAATGAAGGGAGATCAATCTAATCCAAATTATTGAAGAACCAAATTCCGAAGGTGAAGTCTTGTCAAATTTACGTGTATGTCCATCAGAATCCTCTGCAAAGTTTAATCATCCTGGACTACTTGTTGTGATCAAATAAAACAAAATATAGCCGAAGAAAACCATCAGAAAAATACTTGAGAAAATTTGAATCAATCCGAAGTACCCAATTGACATGTTCTTCAAAAGAACAACCCACCATTTTCCAAAAAATTAAAAATAAAAAGTAGTTTAAGTCAAATGAATCAACTATCGCATAACAATTCCAAGCAAAAACTCGACGTAAATTCCTCTAAAAAACCCTAAAAAATACGGTTAAAAGTAGCGAAGAAAAGGCACAATTGAAGGTTTTCTGAAAAGATTATATCGAAGAAAAAAACCTGACGGCGCTTAAATGATGAGAAGCAAAAGAGAAATTTCAGTACCGTGGGACGGCTCCAACAACAACAGCGTTCTTTGCGGCCCCAATACTTCATCTCTCTCCATCTTCCCCAATCTCTCGCATTCTCTGTAGGGGAGAAGTGATTAGAGGGCTGAAGTACTAGGTTGAATTAAAGTATAAATTATTCCAAAAGAATATGTAGTACAAGTTGCCTTCTGCCTCCTGCTGTGCTGCCAGCATCTTGCTTCTAAACGCGAAGAGAAGCTCGGAGACTCTTTGGCTGGAAGCTGGAGCTAAGGAGCCGCGTATCGTGCTTCTAAGCCAAAGACTGCGGTAAGTGGAGGGGTTTTATAGAATTGCCACCTAAAATTCTTGGATGATTTTTGTATATAACCCTCAATTCTTTTGTATTTATATATCAAATACATAATCTTTAATTTTTACATTCATGCCACAGGATGAATTTCTTAAAAGTTGAATGGAACTCCTTAAAAAAAATCTTTAAAAGAGGTGGAATCAATATGTAAATATACATTTTTTTTTACCGATTAAAATTGATATAGATATAGCTGATTTAAAGTAATTATGATCTCAATTATTGAGGGAATGTTTGGGGCAGCTTTTTTGCCAGTGTGGTGGGAGAACATCGGGGTGATTGTTTAGTTAATGTGGTGTGGTGTCTTTTTGGGAAAAGTTGGCTTAAATGTGGGTTGTGGGTTTGACCTTGCAACCAGCGTTTCTTCATAATCTTACTACCACTCTGCGTCCCTACCCCTCTCTCCCCTCCCCCGACTCGCTCACAACTCTCTTGTGTCCCGCTTTCCCCTCTTTTGAGATACTAACCTAAAGGTAACATATCTCTCCTCTCTCCCACTCTTCTCTGATCCGTGGCTCTGGTGGGTAGGTTTTGTTTTTCTTCTCATCTCCCTCTTCCCTCCGATCTCCTGCTCGGTTCGGTTGCTTTGCTTTTTGTCCTCCAACGGTATTCTCTACCATTATCTATGTGGTTTGAAATGATTTTGCGATTTGTGGCTTTCTTATTTGTGGTTGAAGCTCTAAGTTTAGAAATTTGGATTTTATGATTTTTTTGGGTTCTCTGTGCTCTATTTGGCTGATTGTTTTGGTTCTTTGTGCTCTATGCGGTAGATGGTTTGTGGTGGTTGTGTTGTGATGTCTGATTTTACAATTTTTTTGAGTTTTCTGTGCACTATTCGGTTGATGGTTTGAGTTTTCTGTGTTTTATTCGATTGATTGTTTTTGGGGGTTATAATGTGATGTTTGCGGTTGTCCAAAATAGTGGCAATGTGTGTTATGCCTTTGTAGTGCTCTGTGTTGTACTGTGAAAATCATGCTTTAGTTGGCGGTGGCGGTGATTTTATATGGTTGTTGTGTTGTGATGTTGGTGATTGTTGGAAATAGTGGTTGTGTTGTTATGGTGGTTGATGGTTGCACAAAATTTTGTGATAGTTGTTTATGGTTGCCCACAATATGGTAGTTATAATGTTATGGTAGCGGTGTTAGTATTGTGGTGTTAGTGGTGGTTGTGATGTTTTGGTGTGGTCATGTACTTGTAGCGGTCAAAAGGCTTGGAGATGCTAAAATCTCCAATGATTCATGCATGCAATGCTTCATGCATGATGGTCAACCTAGGCACAACTAACAATCCTTGTCCCATTTTTATAAGTAAACCCCTGTTGTATTCTATGACTACCAAGGTCATGGAGATTCTCAAGATGTTTCGAGACTGCTTTGTCTGGAGCTATTCTGAAATGTCTAGCTCAGCCCCGGAGATGGTCTTCCATCATCTTGCAATCGACCTGAGTGTTATTCCTAAAAAAGGAACACCTCAAAGAATCTGACCAGAGATAGAGTTGATGGTTATCAAAGAGATTAAAAAACTCATCTAAGCTAGCGTCATTAGGGAAGTCTTCTACCCTAAATGGCTTGCAAACATCATTCTCGTTTGTAAGAAGAATGAAAATATACGAGTTTGCATCGATTTTCAGGATTTGAACAAGGCCTACACGAAGGATGACTTCCCTCTGCATATACCAGATTAGATGGTAGACGTTGCCTCGACAAATGCAATGTTCTCTTTCATAGACGACTTGTCTGGATACAATCAGAACCGGACGACCCTAGAAAATGAACAACATATGCAATTTTGCATGCCTATAGGCATTATTTACTATAGAGTCATGCCCTTTGGCTTAAAAAATGTCGGGTCAATCTACCAGCATGCCATGATTCATATTTTCAATGACTTGCTGCATCATCAGGACGAATGTTACATCGATGCTGTCATGATTAAGAGTCATTTTGAAGAGGACCATACTTCAGAACTAAGGACTGTCTTTGAACACCTTATAAAATATGATATGAAGATGAACCCATTAAAGTGAGCTTTTGGTGTGTCTTCCTTGAAATTCTTGTGCTTCATAGTCCGACATAAGGGAATTGAGATCAATCCTAGCAAGATAAAATTGATCATAGAGATGTAGCCTCCTATGAGCTCAACAAAATTGTGTTCCCTTCAAGGGAAGCATGCATTCATTAGAAGATTCATTTCAAATGTCTTCGACTGTTTTAGACATTTTTCGGCATTAACAAAAAAGGATACACGTTTCCATTGTGACAAGGCATGTCAAGATGCTTTTGCAATATCAAGTGTTACATGTTAAATCCACTAGTTTCGCCGCCTATGATCCCAAGGAAACCCCTTATCATGTATATCACCGCGCTTGATGAGTAGGTAGGAGCCCTATTAGCACAAGTTAATGAGGATGGGAAAGAAAACTCTTTGTACTACCTCAGTCGTTGTTTCATTCCAACTGAAATGAAATATTTGAAAATAGAGAAGTATTGCTTGGTGTTGATATCCTCGGTTCCGAAGCTGAGGCATTACATGCTCTCGCACCACATTAATTTGATCTCAAGGGTAAACCCCTTGTAGTATCCGATGACTCATCTCGCTTTAGCTAGGTGATTAGCAAGAAGGACCATGCTCTTATTGCAATTTTACATATCATATATATCTCAGCAAGCCATCAAAGCACAAGCTTTGGTTGAATTCCTGGTGGCCCATCCAATCCCAGCTGACTTGTTGTTTAACAATGACTTTCCTGATGAATATATATATATATATATATATATGTCATCGATTCCCCTGAGTGGGAGTTGTACTTTGATCGGGCCTCTTACTTGAAGGAAGGCTCATTCAGATCTCTCCCAAGGGTGAAGGTTGTCATCAACTTCATTTTTGTGTCCCCTAAACATGGTGCTCTTTGTTATTCTTATAGCTTGACAGAGCCACCTATGAACAACGAGACGGAATACGAAGCCTTGATTCTTGGATTAGAATAGTCATCTAAATGAATATAAAAAAGATCAAGGTCTGTGGAGATTCACAACCCATCATCAGTCAGGTGTTGGAAATTTACAAAGTTCTCAAACCAAATCTCTTAGCTCACCATAAGAGAGTGATGGTATTGTTGGAGTACGTTTCTGATGTTACATTGATTAAAATTTCTCGTTCTTTGAATGATAAAGCTAATGCACTTACTAGGCTATCCAAGGAACTATTAAGCCCTACCGGAGAGCACGCGACAATAATGAATCAAGATAGAAGGATTCTCTCACTAGTGTGTCTTGAGCCTTCAGAGGCTACCACTGTGGGTAACGAATGAGCAATATTTGTTGCTCCTGACAAGCCTATCACATATCTAACAAAAGGGACACTCCCTGACGATCACTCTCCAGCTACTCAAATTCAAAAAAGAGCAGTGTCTTATATAATCATAAATAGTAAGCTCTATCGATGCTCGTTCGACTGGATGTGGTTTCGATGTATTAAGAAGGACTAGATTCAGAAAATTATTACTAAAGTTCATGATGATCTATGTGGATCCCATTAATTGGGTCCTAAAAAGAAGTTCAAGATCAAGAGGCTCGGATATTATTGGCTTTCAATCACCCTTGATTGCATGGAATATGCCAAGCAGTGCTATCATTGCCAGATATTTAGTCCAGTATCTCATCAGCCCTCGAACGTTTTGCACCCTACAGCTGCATCATGGCCCTTTGAGGGAAGTCAAGATGGTTTAGGTGCCCCGAAAATTCACAGATTCTTGACCAGGGATTTCAGGACGTGTTGGGTCGACTACCTTCATGGATAGGTAGACTTGAGGTCTTAGTAGCTGTGTATGACGGGTCTGTGGTGCCCCGACCCAATTACCTCTACCTTATAAGATAACTCTACCTTTCTGTCGTTGAGCCCCTTTGGGCCTTCTCACTCCTTTGACTTCATTGATATCATTTTGACGGTCTGATGTCGATGTGTTGCCCTCTCATTTGGGATAAGGTGAATTTTCCTCCACCCATATGGCCCGGACGTGCTTTGATGTATTGAGATATCCCCGTCAAGATGATTTAGGTTATTCCGTGGGCGTCGTATGCTAATGAGCCGCTGCCAATTTGGGATGTGAGGGACTCCCTTTCTGTCCAATGGCTTATTGAGAGCTTTGAAGCATCGTGGCGTTCCCACACAGAATCACCTTCCTTTGATTGCCTATACCCCAGATTTATGATAATTCAAAATGGAACTTCTTTTATCGAGAGTATTCTTGGGTATCCTCCAAGATATAATTAACCAGTAGTAATACGTTCCGCTGGAATTGCTCTTGAGACCATAACAGGTACATACACTTGACCCTCTGGTTATGAGTAGTCTATGTAGATACTTCTTTTGCGGATATTGGTTCAAGAAGCCTTCGCCCAATCTTGTTTGGGTGGACATGCTTGACCTATCCTTGCGAGGTTTTATCTCACGTAGGCTCTCCACGTTTTATTTTTTTCTCTTTTTTGTCTTTTTGTTGTGTCACTTTTTATTCGGTTCCTCTCCTCTTCGAATCACTTATTTAATTTGGGAGGGAGATTTATTCGAACAAGGGAAGTATATGACGATCAATAAGCTGAGAACTCCTTCAAAATTAAAAGAGAGAAAAATGAATGGAAATAGACTGGCGGGGTGAGGCTTTCTCTTCACCGTAGGGGTTTTGCTCTTGTGGATTCTAGAGTATCTATAAGATCAACAACTCCTGCGAGGAAGAATCTACCTCTTCTCATATATGGAGTTGTATTTCCTTGTTCTGCAGGTCCCGACGAATCTGCAAATTTTCGGAACCATTGGGAGTAGTGCACCCTCTCCCTCTTAAGGATGTATGCCTGCATTTGTAGTGACCTAACTTCATTTTCATCAAAATGTCACTTTTTGGACCTCATTGAGTTAGTGCCACCAAACTGTAGATAAAGAACATGA